AACTAAACCACTGGTCATTGTATTTCTTAGTGCCATGCAACCACAGGACACAGAGACAAAAAATAAATACAAAAAAATAAGCTTAAGGATATCCTTGATAAAGTAATAAAATGTATTAATTTTAGGAAGCCTCTACTCTTGAGTATACACTTTCTCAATATTTCATGTGATGGAATGGGTAGTACGCATAAAACACTTTTGTTGCTTACAAAGTATGATTTTTCTCAAAGAAAAGCACTAGGATGTCTGAACTGAGCACAGAATTAGCTTTCTTTTTCTTTTTTTTTTTTTCACGGAACAGCATTTCTATTCAAAAGCACAACCTAGAAACTTGGTATTTGGCAGACATTTTCTAAAAGTAAACCAAATGAATCTGTCACTGCAATAAAAACAACTGACAATATTTGTTGCCAGTACTAAAATTTGAGTTTTCCAGAAAAACTCAGAATTTTAAAAATTTATATGTGCCACCATGAGCTTGAAAGCTTCCAGATACTTGAAGACCTTTCTCATAATAACTGTGGTGATATTAACAAATGTGATTTTTTATGTTGTCTGTACACATAACTCAGTGAACCAATGTTTTCCAAATCACCAATGCATAATGTTATAAAATCATGTGTAGATTTAAAAAAACCCATTGAAAGTAAAAGACAGACCAAGGTTATTGTAACAGAATATGAAAAGTTTATTGATATGACTTTGGATTCTACATTGCAATTAACATTTAAGAAGCTGCCACTTGACAATTTTTATTCCTTGTTTACATTCTACTCCATATTTGTAATTATTGCTATTGTCTGTCTCCAACCATCAATTATTAACCATGAGAATAGGGTCTGCATCCATCTTATTCATTGGTATCTCCTGTGCTTAAGAGAATGCCTGGCACATTCTAGGTGGGCGATAGATATTTAGTTGCATGAATAAATTCCCATTTTAAAGCTGAAGGAATTTAGTCTTAAAGACATAATGTTATGTACCCAAGGTCACAGATCTACTAAGTGACTGAGGAGGAATTCATTTCTGTCCAATTGCAAAGCTCATGTTCTTAATTAAGTTCCTTCACCAACCAAACTGCCTCTCCAGTGAAGATGTGGAGAGGTCTTGTCAGACAGATACCTAGCTTTAATATCAACAGACTCTGAGCTTTTGTGAACTTTTATAGCCTCTCATGTTTGATATGAACTTATTTTAGAACTACAGGAAAACAGTGTTTGAATCCAACTTCTCATAGACTGACCTAGAGTTATTCTGAAAAACAGCCCTGGGCTTCCATCCAATTCCATGGGTAGGTGTGGAACTGAGGTCATGGAAGTTGCTTGAAACAGGTTTTACTTCTCCAGCTTCATCCGTAGCTCTTTCTTTTCTAGAATCCCAGATGATGAGGAAAGGCACAAAAGAAAGGGGGCCTGGAATGCTAAACTGAGGACTTTAACTTTCTAACCACAGTAGATACTTTTGCATAGCTGATAACTAACTCACACATCTCTCAGAGGTATGCTTTGATAAATGGTAACCAGCTACACCAACCAGGGCCACTGTTGAGAGGTTGAAGCCACTAAAATGGAAGCACATTCGGCAATTCCAGTGCTTGGCAGAAGCACAGAACCCAAGTTTTTAGAGAACAAGGACCTTTAGAAAGGTTCTTGCCAGGTCTCTCTTGCAATTTAATTACTTTCCATTTCTAGATGACATTTAAACCAACATGAAATATTGTATTGCTAAATTATTTCAGATGCTGCATGGCAGCACCAAATCCAATGCAACTCAAGTTGTCCCTAAAAAGGATGTGTGTCTTCTCAGGTAACGTAGCTGGGAAGCTGGAGAACAGAATGAAAACCAGCCCCATGCACTCCTCCTCTCTGCTCACATGGTGATCAGGGCAGTATTATCAGACACCAATTCTAGTGCTCAGAGAATGCTAGAGTGCTTCATCAATGTTGACCTTAAGCTGTGAATGGCTACTTAGCGTGGTAAGATCACAGCTCCTAGCCCAGAGCAGATGATCAATAAATGATCATTAAATGACTAATTTTCTACACTGCCAGTATATATTTCACACATTCACCATGAGTAGGCATCCTTTAATCTGGAAACACTATGGCTGTACTGAACACCAAACAATTCCTACTGTCTGTGGCAAAGAAGGTTAAATTTGTAAATCATGGCGGTTCATATACTTCTGCCCGTAAAGATGATAATATTTTACCTTTAGAGAGATCTGATATCCAGATCACAGCTGTCAGATGAAAATATTGACTTAGCCTACAGCCCTACTACAAAATATAAAATAGTAGCATCTGCCTCTTCTACAGGAAATTCAAACATATTATCATTTGCGGTAGGGGTAGGGGAGAATAATAAAGAAACCAGATACATGACTCAGATTAATTGAGGCTTAAAATGATTCTAATTAATACATTTGCTATTTTCTCTAACTTTGATATTATTTATTTCTAGATTTCAATCTATGTTACCTCCAGACACAAGCACAAAATAAATGCTTCATAAATGTTTGTTGAATTAATTTGATACAATGGTTCTCTGAGTATGGTCTGAGGACCCCTTAAGATCGTGGTGTGCTGGAGAAACTTCTGTCATCTCACAAGCAACAACTATCACATTTTTGAGAATTTTATGAGCCAGCTATTAAATATGACAGTTATTAAAAATTAAATTATAAAAAATTGCAATTAATTTAAATAAAAATAAAGGTAATAAATAAGTAGTACTCAAAAACCATCATTTCCTAAATATCTTTCTGCATTTCACTATTTCTAAGTTATTGAGGTTATTAAATCCATTGTATTTCTATGTAGAAACATCTAACAGTGTGCTACTATGCATTTCTTCCCAACTTTTCATTATCATGCATTTTGGGAAGATTTACAGCAGAAATATTGGCAAATGCTGCCAATGGAGCTCTTCTTTCCTCCTTGATGAGCTGGTTATCATAATATTTACTATCACACTACTTCCTGAGAGTTCACAATACTCTTTCAGGTGGTCTACCAAGCCCTCCTCCATAATGTGAGAGAACAGATTTTCTACATAAATGTTAACCCAAACGAAGATTTGAACAGATTAAATGCAGAAACAGATATGAGATTCCAACTATAAGCTAGATATTAAAGCAAATTTTGAAAAATGTAATTATGCCTTCTCACTTTTTTTTTCATGAAAAAGTGTTGTCTTATGCTAAAGACAAGATAATAAGCCCAAAATGGAGTTGCTTATGCTAAACTCCACTTCCCCAAGTAAAGACCTAATTACAGTTTCAGCTCCCACAAAAATGAAATCTTAAACCAGTCAATCAGGAACATCCTGATCAGCATTAATTAAGCAATTTGCCTGATAAACCCCTACAATAATAAAGTAACTGCAATAATCAACCTGCTTTTTTGCCTAGTGCAATCCCCTTATTCTTGCTCACTTCGACCTAAAAAAAATCTCTACCTTGTATATCTGGTCAGAGTGCCCTTCTATCTGCTAGGTTGAATGTTGGCTGATTCACAAATCAATCACTAAATAAAGCCAGTAAAGATCTTTATAATTTTCTCAGTTGACTTTTTTGTTTTTAATAGTTAATGTAATAATGTATTTTTTTCATTTATATACTAAGTGGATTCATTTATACTTATTCTAATATGATCAACGGAGAAGGAAATGGCAACCCACTCCAGTATTCTTGCCGGGGAAGTCCTATGGACAGAGGAGCCTGGTGGGCTACTGTCCATAGGGGTGCAGGAGTCGAAGAACTAAAGAACTAAACCACCAATAGGATAAACATTGACAGATATATCAGAAAAGTAAAAGCTCTTTGGGGCCTTCAAGAATATTTTAAGAGTGTGAAGGGGCCTGAGATGAAGAGTTTGAGAATCACTGATTTAATAATGCAGTAAATCCCATATAGTGCTATTTGACCTAGTGCAGTCAAACTAGATAAGCAGGTCTATATTCTCAGGCCATTGTGACCTTGGGAAATTAATGATTGACCTTTTCAAATCTGTATTTCTCCATTTGCAAAACGACAGGGCAAGATAGGATGACCTCACTGAACCTTATTTTAGCTCTCAGATTCTGTAACTAGGAGAATTATAAACGAGCTTTGCTTCTAGTTTGAAGGCAGTGGAAATCTTTTTGCTTTGTCATCTTTTTTATTCCTCCAACCCACATCATCACCGTCTTTAACAATCTTTATCCGCCAAAGCTCCTGCCTCCCAAAGGATTTAACATTAGATTACATCACCATAATTACAGAAGTCACTGCTTCCAGTGTCAAAAACTCAGACCACTCTTGGACTAAACTATGTCATATAGCAGACATAAAAACGCTATGCAGACCAACAAAATGCCGCGGTTTAGTGTCACTCCATCCATCAGGTGGAAAATGCAATTCCTAAAGCAGGCACTGTGACCGAATTTAATAAAGCAAACTTTCACCCAGGACCTGCTTTGCATCTCCCACAACGGCGGAGTGACACGAGTGTTTTCTCCTTTCTGTGCAAGTACCACAAATTAGTATCTGCTTGCCAGCCTTTAAAGTGTGTGAATTATCCCTCTTAATTCTAGTCAGGTCCGCGGAGGCTTGCCTTCCGAATTTACTGCAGCAAAATGCAAATGATGTATGTAATAAAAAAGCCCTTGCCAAGTGAAACTGCAGCCTTCACTTTCATATCACATCTGCGTCTCCTTTCCTCTAGCGTACCCACAGCCACAGCGAGATGTGAAATCGCATCCCAGTCTGCCGGGAATTCAATTTCCAGATCCCCTCCCGGCACCAAACCAACCAGCAAAAAAGCAAGCCCGCGGGGAGCGAAGCTGCGCGGGAGATGAGAAGGGTCAAGGGCGCGCGGGGGTGAGCCGGCTCTGCGGGGCGCCCGCCTCCCATCGCGGGGCTTGGACGATCTGGGTACCACTGAGCCCTGGCCCGTTAGGGGCCCAGGAATCAGAGCTGCGCTAAAATGGCTGCCGGCGTCGCGGCTGCCGGAGGAGGGATGCTCAAAGCCAAGGACAGGCTGCCCTCCCAGGCTGCCCTGCCGCCAGGGAGCGTCCGCCTCCCAGCAGCAGGTGAGACGCGGCCAAGGTGCCCCGCATTTGGAGCACCTCCCAAGGCCAGGGCGAGGCCACCCGCGCCTTCATTTAACTCTGCGGAAGGTCACCCCAGCACCGCCCGCCTCTACGCGGCACGTGCGGCTAGGCATCGCCATGGCAACCTCCTTTTCCGCCCCCTCTCTCGTTATGGAACAGCTGAGACGCAGAGCGTCTCTGAACTTGTTACTGCGCAAGTTAAAGCACTCTCCGAGGGCTTAGTTTCCTAACTATTGTTCTTTGAGCAATTGATTGCTTCTTGCAGTTAGAAAAACCTACCCGTGCTTTTCAAACGTTCTCCCCACCACTCCTGGGTCAAACGTGTCAGTGCATCTGATCATTCTCCCCCATGGAAGTGCAACAGAATTACTGGGGGCAGGAGTCAACTTCAACCCCAATTTCCGGACACTAATCTTGGAACCATGTTACCGTTTGGAGGCCTCAGTTTTAAAAGACATAGATCATTAATAATTTAGATATAGTTATTATAAATTATATTATATATTGATAATTATAGGAAAAACCTCTCCCTCTTGCACCTATAAATGTTTGAAGATAACAGTATTCTGTCTAGCTTCAGCCTATCAGAATGCCCAGTGAAATGGCATTCTGGAAATTAAATTGATAAGCAAGTATTTCTTTTAATTTTGAGTAATTGAAAATAATGACCCTTTAGGACAAAACTGTATGCTCAATGATCAAAGAAATGCAAATTATAACTATTTAGTAAAATATGCTAGTTAGTAAGGATTCTTTTTTGTTTGTCTGTTTTTAATAATAGCCAGTGTTGACAAGGGGTGGCAAAACTCATATACAGGCTTAGTGATGGTGTAAACTGATACAATCTTCCTGGAGGCAGTTTTTTTCAAGAAATAATTAGAGCTGTGAACAAAATATAGCTACAAGTTGCTCATAGCAAAAATGTTTATGATGTATTTTTTTTAATCCAGCTAAACCTACACCGAGGATTGGATAAAGAAATCAATACAATGAGATATTGTGTATGTTGTAAAAATGAAATAAAAGAATACCTAGTTCCTTGAAAGGTTTTTTTTTAATGATTTATTGCTAAATGAAAAGTAGATATTAAACAGTAATTAATTTGGTCTAATTTTGTTTTATTTAAATGTATTTAATAAGGAAAGTGTTAACAATGGTTATCTCTGGGTGGTGAAATTACAGATGACTTTATCTTGCTCCTTACTCTCTGACAGTAGCAGGCATTTTTTAAACTTTTATATATTTTATATATTTTCATATTATTTTATATTTTTATATATAACAATTTAAAAAACAAACATGTTTTGTCTGATGTTTTATAAGTAAAGAAATATAAATATTTATAATAATATAATTATAACCTACTTACACCTAGGCTATAGTTAAATATATTTTCCTCAAAGGAAAGTAGATTTTAATAGAGAAAAGAGATCTGGATTACTCCCGTCATTTGTTCCCTGCCCCCGCCCCCTCAGATATCTGAGCACTTGCATCTGATTTGGAAAGGAAATATTTCTTCAATTCTTTAGGTTCTACCAAAGGAAACAAAAATGAGTTTCCACTAGAGCATAATGATATTAAGGAATACTCAAAAACATTTTAGTGTCATACATCTTCATTAAGGATTAAGACTTTCATTCCGTTCTTGTTCTCTGGCTATAGAATTGCAAATTGAAAAGCAGTTGTGGGTTTAAAGTGGAAATTCATGAGTGATGATGCGAGGCCTGTCTCCAGTGCCAGATTGTACACAAAGCAGAATCTTTCAAAATAGCCTTCTCTGTGGTCGTTGCACCCAGGCTGCAGAACAGCAGGGAACCGCCCATCATCTCATTCACACACGACTACATGATCTTCCAGGGAAACTGCTCTCTTCTCACCCTGGGGAGAGTGTATCTGATGTGAGCAGCCCTGCAGGAGTGTACTCAAACCACCTCGTTTCTAAGGAAGAACCCAGGCCTGACCAATGGTTGCAATGAAACCAGTTAAAGCTTGTGAACTGTTCCTTGTGAATAATTCTGAGGAAAATAAATCATAGACATGGGCAGAGATATAGCCACAAGAATGTTTGTTGTTATACTAGTTTATAACAGTAAAATCTTAGAATCCACATAAATGTCCAAGAGTTAAAGAAATCACATTGCAGCTGAATGATAAAGTTGTATGTTGCCATTAAGACTGAAGACAGGAAAGAATATTCAGTGAAGCAGGAACAGCTCAGGGCAGTGTTAAGTGGAAAGAGGCATGTTAAATATAGAATGTACAATGTGACTTCATTTTTATAAAATATTTCATATCACACACTATATTTAATGTTATATACATAATTGGGAGTAGGAGCTCAAATCCAAAATTAGGTATTAGCAGTTATTTTTATTTTAACATCTTTAATAAGTCCATTAAAAATATGCTTTTCATGGTTAAGGAATTATTAAGAAGGTATTAATGGAAAAAATGCAATTTTATTAGAGGGAAGGGAAAGGTACTACAGGCTCTGATGACTTTTAAACATGCATTTGCAGGCACCTGGAAACACTCTCAAAGCATACGTTTTATTAGTTCAGCAATTAGAGGATGATACACTGCCTTCAGTCACATTACCCACCTCATGTATCCATTCCTCTGGACTAAAGTGCTTGGACCATGACTTTCTCTGCAACCTAATTGTTAGAGCAGATAAGACCGCAGTCAACTGAGCACATCTGTTTACAACATTGAAAAGATGAAGTCAAGTTAAAGGTTGCCTAATAAGCACATTCTATGCATTCTCAGAGTGTACACATACTCTGGATTCTGGTCTGATTTTCCTTAAACCTCTCGTTTATAAACGGAGAAACGGTCGACCGTATGACTCTCTAATTGGCAGTCCATGAATGTTAGCCCATCAGTCCATAAATGTTAGCCAAGCTTTTCAGACTTGAAAAATCTTTATTGCCTGGTCACTGCCAACCAGCGGAGCACCCGCTCCCAACTCTGCCTTTTCCACCTTCTGAGCTCGGTTGTAGCGAGACAACAGCAGCTAACACAACTTAACAAACTGACTTGTTACATTCTTGACTTTGTTCTAGTTCTCTCAGCAAACCTATGGAGCAAGCATGACTCTAAGAGTATTCTTCCCATTTTACAAATGAATAAACTAAGGCACTGAGAAGGTAGCCCATCTCACCATCCAGAGTTAATAAGCATTAAGATATAAACACAGGAAGCTTGGCTCTGGCTCTTAACTGTTATACCATCACCCAAATAATGTATACTGTTTGTCAAATCAGGGACTAGCTTCACTGACTCTCCGCCTTAGTCTCAGTTCTTCCCTCTGTATAGGAATCCCTTCCACTTAGCCAAACTCAAATTCTTCTTTCAAAATACAGATGTAATGTATTGCCTCTGAAAACTCTTCCTCAATCAGACTTAAGGAATTTCCTCTCTATTCCTATATGTACCTTAGTTATGGTTATTAGTTATGGATTAGTTATAGATTAGTTATGGTACTAATCACATTACTGTAAGGCATATTTATTTACCTACTTCCACCACTGATGTGAGTCCTTCAAAGCCAGGATTCAAATATCTGTTACTCTTTAAATTGCCAATGCCTCCTATAGTATCTGACATACAGAAAGTTCTTAATAATTGATCTATGAATGAATGATACAAAGAATACCATAGAGTTCTGCTGGCCTGAATATGTGGTCTTCAGTTGGTTTCCCATCATGACAGCCACTCTCGCTCCATTAGAGTAGGCGCTGTATAGATGAACACTGGACTAGCAGCCAAAAGACCAGTGTCATGTCAACTTTGCTCCCAAAGTACAATCTTTGCCTTGCTGGGCTCTTAAGAGTTCAATGTTGGGACTTCCCTGGTGGTCCAGTGGCTAAGACTCCATGCTCCCAGTGCAGAGGGCCCAGGTTCAATCCCTGGTCAAGGAACTGGATCCCACATGCTGCTCTAAGAGTTCTTGTGCTGCAGCTAAAGATCCTGCTGCTGCAATGAAGATGGATGATCCCACAAGCTGTGACAAAGACCCAGAGCAGCCAAATAAATAATAATTTTTTTTTATGTCCAATGTGGACTTATCCTTAGGGATGGAAGGAAAACTGTTAGGCGAACCTATTAAGATATTATTGGATATTTATTTTGACAATTTTGAGGTATTCCTTTTGGATAAAGGGCCCCAAAAAGGTGGAACAAGAGGATAACTGAGTCATAAAGGGTTTATGGCTCAGCATGTAACCAAAAAGGAGTTTCACTTTGATGAAGCTCTATAGCCAGCAGTCTGAAAATGTCACCAGATATTTCTGCTCCAGGTAGTTCACACTTCTTTTCCTCACAATCTGCACCAATATAAGCAGGAAACTCATGGTTTGTTGGTATCAGTGTTCTTCAACAGGCAAAGATTATTTGTGCTGGTTTCAGTGAGGTCACTAGCAGGACTGTGAAGCACTGATACCAACAGACCATGACTTTCATGAAATTAAAAGATGCTTACTCCTTGGAAGGAAAGTTATGACCAACCTAGACAGCATATTAAAAAGCAGAGACATTACTTTGCCAACAAAGGTTCGTCTAGTCCATGCTATGGTTTTTCCAGTGGTCATGTATGGATGTGAGAGCTGGACTGTGGAGAAAGCTGAGCGCCAAAAAATTGATGCTTTTGAACTGTGGTGTTGGAGAAGACTCTTGAGAGTCCCTTGGACTGCAAGGAGATCCAACCAGTCCATCCTGAAGGAAGTCAGTCCTGAATATTCATTGGAAGGACTGATGCTGAAGCTGAAACTCCAATACTTTGGCCACATCATGCGAAGAGTTGACTCATTGGAAAAGACTCTGATGCTGGGAGGGGTTGGGGACAGGAGGAGAAGGGGATGACAGAGGATGAGATGGCTGGATGGCATCACCAACTCAATGGACGTGAGTTTGAGTAAAGTCTGGGAGTTGGTTATGGACAGGGAGGCCTGGTGTGCTGCGATTCATGGGGTCACCAAGAGTTGGACATGACTGAGCGACTGAACTGAACTGAACTGAACTGAATGCTTATACATTAAAATCGAAACATAATGAATGTTTAACACAATGTTTCTGTTTGATCACTACAATTTGATTCATCTTATGGCCCTCCTGCAATGCAGGAAACCTGGGTTCAATCCTTGGGTTGGGAAGATCTCCTGGAGGAGGGCATGGCCACCCACTCCAGTATTCTTGCCTTGAGAATACCCCATGGACAGAGGAGCCTGGT